AGTCCCATTGAAGAACTACAATCCAGGTGATCTAGGGTCATTGATCCAGAAACATATCATTGCAAAGGAACTCACCCCTACAGGAATGACAGAGTTCAGAGGCTGAAATCCCCCCTCTGCCATTTTTATCAAAAATTAAAATTGTTCTAAGGAAACATGCCTCCTGAGCCCAGTGAAGCTCCCCCTTCCTGTCCCAACCTGTCTTTGTTTCCCTCCCCTTACCATCCCTGCCTTGGAGCAATGAACCCCTTGCATTAACCCTTTACACCCTAACATCAGTATGCATATTCTCCAAACTTTTCTCTACATGTTTCCTGAGTTGCTGACAAGGAGAACTTGTTTAACAATCAAGAGCTGCTTCAGTTGGTGATCATTTCCTTTATTCTCATGACTTTAATGTTTGATTCAGGGGTGATATTGTTGGGAGAAATTAGATGCAAGTCAATCTTAGGGGTTAATGGGTTGAGGGATATTTTTCATCGACGAAGAGATCAAAACTAAAGATGAAACTGGTGGACGGTGTGTTGGTTACAAACATTCTCTCAAACTTGAACAATTTTTTTAATTAAAGACAGTTATTATAAGAATTTGTACAACCAGCACTGTCTGTTATAAATGTGCGATGAACACCATCGCCGTCAGTAAAACAGCCAGTCCTCTTCCAACAAAAAAGGCTAAAAGCATAGTTTGCATTTGGTTGAATCCAACCCAATTCGATCTTCGCGACTCATTTGGCGACGGTTTCGATGAAGTTGGCCAGTTTGACATCCTTTTCAGACAGTCCTCCACAGTCATGTGTGCTGAGTGTAATCTGTACTTTGTTGTACACGTTGAACCATTCAGGATGATGATCCATTTTCTCGGCTTGCAAACCAACACGTGTCATGAAACCAAAAGCTTGATTAAAATCTTTGAAAATAAATTCTTTGTAAATCGCGTCTCTTCCTTCCACCTCTGTCCACCCAAATTTAAGTAACGGAGAAAGCATCGCGTTTCTCTCTTCTTCTTCAAGTTTCAGGCGCTTTGGAGCAGGATCAGTCATGATTTCATAAACCCTTCCACAACGAAAATCAAAGCAAGTGAAACGAACGAAGAATTGTACGGTACGTAAACCAAATATAATTACTGTGGGAGGAGTGGGTTAGTTACTAATGCCTTAGTTACTAATTGGAACTATTTTATTCCGAGAACACATCCTATTACGACCTGGGATCACCAAAAATATTGATTCAAAGAAAATGTTTTAACTTGAATAATGATGTAAAATACATGGCAAAGACCCGTTTGATTTACCTGGTGTTGCTACTTTCCCCTCCCCGGTAGAGGAAAAATGTTCCCCTAACTCTCATGACCATCGTCTTGATTGTAAACTAATCACGCAGAGGAAAACTTTTTTAGCTTTTCCGCCAAACTCTGTTTATAGATCCAGTTCTGAGACGCTGGTTTTAAAATTTGAACGGGAAGCTTACTATATCATTGAAATCTCACCCAAAAAATGGCCATGTGTTCATTTCAAGTTAACCTACTTAGTACTTCGGAGAAGAAGTAATTTTTGACAATAAAAATTAACGGTAAAACACGACGTTTCGACCAAACTTCGGTCATTTTCAAGTGAATGGTAGGAATGTAACGATTAATATATATGTGCGTGTTAGAAGTGAAAAAGTTTTGGAAGTGTGAGCGGACAATAAGAACATACAATAAGAAATAATTAGAAGCTAATTTAAAACAAATAAAAATTAAAAACCTAATTAAAAACCTTTGCACGAATTGAGCCCGACTGCATCTTGAGAGTAGGTCTCAGTTCTTGAATAAAAAACATTTCATTACTGTAGGCAGTCAGATTTGTTCTAATACTGGAGGAAATTGACTGCTGATGTTATGTGTGGCATGATAGTCAGTGTGTGTGACATATCTCTTGTTGTATGTGGGCATCTTGCCTTCATGCCACAAAGTATCCTCAGTGCTGCACATAAAGAAGTTGGCTAATAGAGGACCAAGGGGGGAGCCCATAGCATCTCCGTTTGTTTGTTCATATAAATGACCGTCAAACAAGAAAAGTTGGTCCTTTGTCACCGCTCTAAGAAGATCGACAATCGATCGGTGGTGAGTCTCATTAAACCAATATTATCAAGTTTCCCATTCTGTTGCTTTAGGGAAGCTGTCATGGGAGAACCTTTTTGTTATCCTGACCGATCCCTGCTCCGTAAGCTAAAATTTCCCTGAGGTAATCTCCCACAATAAAAATCAGTCACACCTACAAACTTAAGTTTCCCATGGGTGGACTTTCATCAAGTCTCGTTTCCAAAGGGCAATAGCCTGTTGTGTGACCACAGCTGTTGAGGCCATTTACCACCTATTACGGTTCTAGGCTCTTGCACCGCGGAAAAATTTTCCTTTCTTGGCTACATCGCAAAAAATTGGATCGCACTTCATTCCTAATCTCGTACCCAGGCCCTACCGCACAACTGAAATTTCCCCTTCCCTTCTAATACAGTCCACTCTTACTCTAAATAAAATATGACTGCTGTAACAGGCGAGCTAGGCCCTTTGCGGATTTGGAGCCCCCTCGATTCGTATCCTTCCCCTCCCCCTTGGTCTAAATCCACCATGCCGGCATGCCAGTCGAATGAACGATCGCGAGAGGGTAACGTTACCTCACCCTATTAAGACGCCTGTTCTGCAGGCTGCTCCAAACAATAACCCTTGTTTAATTGTTACTCCTCATTTTATGTGTCCGCTGTGTTCAGTAATTACTAATGAGGGAAAAATACAAACAAGTTAACTAAACCCCCTCCCCCGGTAATCAATCTGTTTTTGCTCAGCGGACGGATCTAGAACCGATCGATGACTGGAGCAAATAACTCACTTCACGCAGCCTCGAACGCTTAGATTTACGGGCAGAAAGCCTGACTCTTTTTCAGTTTTTTTTCTTCTGCGATTTCCTTAATTGCAGTATACATACAAGTATAATTTCGTTATTTGCTCTAGGTATTGCGACGATTCTCCGTTTGGAAGACTTTTGCTGCGAAATGGAGGTGGAAATCTTGGGCTCTTGTTTAGAAGAAAAAAGTTCCGGAAAGTTCCGGAAAGTTCCATATTTTACAGCTACGTCACTGAGATAGATTGACCGTGAGGGCCTGAGAAAGTGAAAGTTACACCCTCGAACCTTCCCTCAGACAGTTTGAGTTGCTGCTCAATTCTACGCAGTCCATGAGCAAAAGTGAGCAAAATGAATTCTGTCCTCGATTCTTCAGAGGAGAAAACAAATGGCACAAAACTTTTACGACTGGCAATCGATGGAGGCACAACCGTTCTGAGAAATTATTTAATGCGATCCATCATTCCTTCGACACTACAAGACGTGCTCCTCAACCACATGGGAAGGCTTTACCACCTGAAATCATCTAAGAAGATAATTACTAGTGATCAGTGGAATCAGTTATTTCCTTCTACAAGTGTTCCACCAAACCCTCAAACATTTGACATAACTCTCTTGCATCTGTTACTACGGGAAGTTTGCGGTTTGACTGCACCAGCAGATGGATGGCACAAAATGCCTTCAGAAACTGATCTCAGCGTTGAAGCTAACATCGTCCGGATTAAGAACTTTCGAAATGAGCTGTGTCATGGAATGTCCACCAGTATTCCTAATGACAAATTCCAAGACAAACTGCACATGATTTCCCAATCATTAGTGGCCTTGGGACTCGATCAAAAGGAGGTGGATCGCCTTGCAACTGAACCTATTGATCATGACACTGAACGTCGAGTAAACGAGTAAGTCGAGAAGTGGAAAATAGAAATTGGACCACGGGTAAACAAGCTAGAGAATGACTATCAGATGATAAAAGGGGACATTTCTGCCATTCAAGCTTCTATTTCAGGGCAAGCCACAAGTAACCTTTCAAACTGTCTTCCGGATAAAAATAATGTCGTTGGCCGGTCCCAAGAGTTAGAAGAAATCACCGATGCAATTCGAACTGAAAGTGCAGCTGCAGTTCTTGTTACTGGGGGACCCGGGTTTGGTAAAACAGCTGTAGCAATTGAAGTGGGCCACGAATTGGTATCCAAAGGGAATGAAGAGAGGACAGTTTTGTTTTGTTCACTCAGATCTAAAGCAGCCATTGCTGAAGTAGCTACTTCGATGATCCTTCCGTGCAGTGCAAACCTCTCTCAACCACCAGGACATCCGCAACATTGGCTCCGAAATTGGAGCAAACAACAGCAAAAGAAAGTTTCTTTCATTCTGGACAATGCAGATGATGTTCTCGAATCTGGTGATCGAACTGCATTTGTAACCATTTTAAAGGACATGAGAACTCTATCAAACTGTAAGATCACATTTGTTATCACTACTCGAAAACTATTTCAATTAGACCCCAATTTGCGAATGAAATGTGTGAGATTGAGAACATTATCCCGTGAGCACGCACAGGAACTCCTCTTGTCCAAAGTCCTCAACCCAGATGTGAAACAGGGGCTCTCCAAGACAGATAAATTGGTTCAACTTTGTGGTTGTGTACCCCTAGCTTTATGCATCATTGGTTCGTTGCTTTTAGACTATCCTGAAGATCAGCTCATTGAACGCCTTGAGGAAAAGCCATTGGATGTTCTCAAAGAGGATGAAAGTGATGAAAATTCTGTTGAAAAAGCAATTTACACTTCTATCAACTTTTTGAGAGAACATGAACAAAAGGCTCTGATACTTCTGTCAGTTTTTCCAGGTTCATTCAGTAATATTGCTGCCCAAGCTGTTATTAAGGCAGTTGATTGTCAAGGAGATCCTGGATCAATTCTCCGTTCCTTGAAAAACCGCTCTCTTATTGAGACACCAGCCCCATACAGATATCAAATCCATCAATTTATTCAAACATTTGCAAAGAAGATTGAT